CTACTTGTACCTTATCTGCTCTCTCAGCCTACCCCAATCCTAGCCTCTCTCATTCTAGAGAGGAAAAAACCCTTCAATTAATGTATGAAAAGAAATTAACCCTTAGCTCCATGTTTGAATCTCCTAAATCATAAAGGGCTCAAAACACAAAAGTGCTTTTCATATAATATGATCCATTGTTTTTAATAAATTAATTATGTGGGAATTACAATTAAAATACAGAAAAAACATCCTGAATAATCAACTGCAACTGAAGATGAGCTGGAGAATACCCTCATAACCAAGGAGGAAAAGTGAAGACCACATAGAGACTGGTAAGAAGTACAGAGGCACAAGAGGGCTGGCTGGGCTCCCAAAGGCAGCAGCTAAAGGTCTAGAGAGATATTTCAACTGTGGGAGGTTCCCACTGAGGACTCTGGTGCCTAAACCCTAAGCTAGGCTTCCCAGCCAAGAGCACCAGAACTGAAAAAGGTGCTCACATAACATCTGGTGGTGAAAAGCAGCTGAGTTTCTGTCTGTCAGGGAGAGACAGCTGGAAATGCAGGCACCCTCTTAAAGAGCCAACACACAAAGTTTCGTGTACAGCCACTCACCTTGGGCTCCAGCAGAGGGAGGGTAGCGTGGACTAGAGCTGTGTGAGGAGAATCTAGAGTTGTGGACTTTGGAGACAGAGCTCAGAGGGCACCCTCTTGACTCCTGTACCAGGTCATTCCTATAGGCTGCAGATGACACCTTTTTCAGGCAGACAATTTGCTGCTTTTGCCTGGGGGTGGAAAGCAGTTGCCCCACCCTGTAGGAAAACCTCTTGCTTTACCCAGAGGAGTTTCTACATCCTGAGGCTCATTAAGAGAATCAGATTAATCAGCCTGCAGGCAGAGGCAGACTTCAGAGTTCTTTGAGTCTTTGCCTGATCTGCTTCTGGAACCAGTCCTTGGAAAAGCAGACTTTGGTGTGCATCTTGGTCCTGTCCAACCCCCCCAGCCCCAGCAGAGGAGACCTCAAGCCAAGGGTTGTTGATAGCTCCAAACAGCGTACTCAGGGCCAGTCACAAACTGCATATGACATTGGTCTGCACCAGAGACCATCCAAAAAGACTGAGAGTCCTAGCAGGCTTACCTAATACATAGAAACAAACCCAAACAGGCCACCAAAATGGGGAGACAAAAACACAAGCCCCAAGTAAAAGAACAAGAGAAGTTTCCAGAAAAAGAGATGAATGAAATGGAGATAAGCAATCTATCAGATATAGAGTTCAGAATACTGATTGTAAGGATGCTCAACAGCATGAGAAAAGATGTGGAAACTATGAAGGAAATTAAGAATGACAGAGCAGGAATAAAGAATACATTAGAAGGAATAAACAGCAGATTAGAGGAAGCTGAGGATCAGATCAGTGAATTAGAAGACAGAGTAGAAAAAATCAACCAGAGATCCAAAAAGAAAAAAACAATTAAAAAATAGGAGGACAGTTTAAGGGAGCTGTGGGACAACATTAAATGTAACAATATTCGCATCACAGGAATGCCAGAAGAGGCTGAAAGTAAGCAAGTGTTAGACAACCTGTTTGAAGAAATAATGGCAGAAAACATCCCTAACCTGGTGAAGGAAAAAGCCACACAAGTTCAGGAAGCACAGAAAGTCCCAAGCAAGAAGAACCCAAAGAGGCCCAAATGCAAGCACATCATAATTAAACTGCCAAGATTTCAAGACAAAGAGAGAGTATTAAAGGCAGCAAGAGAAAAGCAATCTGTTACCTACAAAGGAGCTCCCATAAGGCTGTCAGCTAACTTCCCATCAGAAATTCTACAGGCCAGAAGGGAATGGCATGAAGTATTCAAGGTAATGCAAAGCAAGTATCTGAAACCAAGACTACTCTAGCCTGCAAGGCTATGATGGTGAAATAAAGAGCTTCCCAGACCAAAAAGAAAAAAAAAGGCTAACGGAGTTTATCACCACCAAACCAGCATTGCAGGAAATGTTAAAAGGACTACTGTAATAATAAGAAGAAATAGACAAACATAGACATAAAGAATTAAAATAGCAATAGATAAGTATCTATCAATACTAAATGTAAGTGAATTAAATGCTCCAATAAAAAGACATAGGGTGGCTGAATGGATAAGAAAACTTAACCCAAATATACGCTGTCTACAAGAGACCCACCTCAAAATAATAGACTCACACAGGATGAGAGTGAAGGGATGGGAAAAAGTTTTCCATGGAAATGGAAATGAAAAAAAAAGCTAAGGTAGCAATACCCATATAGGACAAAATAGACTTCAAAATGAAGACCATAGAAGAGACAAGAAAGGTCACTACATAATACTAAAGGGATTGATCCAACAAGAGGATATAACCCTGATAAACATATATGCACCCAGTACAGGAGCACCTAAATTTATAAAAAAAATTCTAGAGGACTTTAGGGGAGAGATCAACAGCAAGACAGTCATACTAGGGGAATTTACAACAGAACTGATTTCACTGTATAGGTCTTCCAGACAAAAAAGCATCAAGGAAATGCTAAATCACACACTAGATCAGATGGATTTAATTGACATTTACAGAACATTCCACCCCAAAGGTGCAGAATATACATTCTTCTCAAGTGCACATCAGTAGATGAGTGGATAAAAACGCTGTGGTACATTTATACCATGGAATACTATGCAGCTATAAAAAAGAAGGATCACTTGGCCTTTGGGACAGCATGGAAGGAACTGGAGAGTATTTTGCTTAGTGAAATAAGCCAGTCAGAGAAAGACAAGTACCACATGATCTCACTCATATGTGGAATGTAATAAACAAAATAAACTATGAACAAAATAGATCCAGAGGCATAGAAGCATGGAACAGACTGAGGGATCTCAGAGGGAAGGTGGGAGTGGAGGAGTGGGTGGGAGAGACTAATCAAAGAGCTTGTATGTCTATAAGCGTAACCCATGGACATAGACATTGTTATGGGGAAGGCCTGGGAGTGGGGTGGATTTGGGGTGGAGAGGATCAATGGGGGAAAAGGGGGGACATCTGTAATACTTTCAACAATAAAGATAAATTTAAAAAATTAATTATACATATAACTAGCAATGTTTGCCTTTTTAAAGTTTTAATTTTTCAATTACAGTTGACATTCCATATTGCTTTATATTAGTTTCAGGTGTACAGCATAGTGGTTAGGCATCTATAAAAAAGTCCTTGTGCAAGGGTCATGCTAATCCCTGTGTTATTCCAACTTTAGTACATGTGCTACGGAAGCGAACACTGTCAGTGTTTTCTTGTGTATTTGTGTGCTTTCTTTAAGGCACTGCCTGTATATCGAGATTATTCAAATTCTATCAATACCTCTGTGAAGTATTATTCCCACATTGTAGTTGAGAAAAATATGGCTCAGAATGTTAGATACTTAGCCTAGTGTTACAGAGTTTAAAATACTAGATGTAAGGTACTGAGTCCTGGAGTTGGGTTTGGGTTTCTTTGTACTCAACTATGCTGTGTCAATTATTATGTTTCTTTTCCCTCCAGTTACATTTTAAGCTCACTGAGGCAGATGGCATGGACAGGGACAACCTCTTATATCCGGTAGCTGCTCCATAATGTCTCCTAGATGCAATATGTGGACTCAGTAATTGCAGAGTGGAAAGACTGAGGCCACCTGCAGAAAACAGTTTCAAAGTCACAATGATTCCAAGTCAGGTCACTATACTCTCAAGAATGAAGTGTTGGACACCCAGGGGAGCCAGAACATCCCCTCTGTTGATGCATTTACCCTGCCAGGGTTTCCAGTGGGAGACAGTGAATGTAGAGGTGGATCCAGCACCCACAGCTGCTGCATCATCTCAACAGCATTGTCCCGCCGCAGGTGATTTCTCTCTCACAGGCTCCTGCTTTCTTTAGCCAGGAGAGGAGGGGGTGGGGGCTGAGGCATGGGGGCTGTTCTGCTGCCCCCAGGGTGCACAGGAACACACTGGGACTCATGCGCTTACCTGCCTGGACACACCCTGCAGCTGTATTCACCACCCCCTCGCGTCCCTGACATGCCAAGTGGCACAGGAAAATCCACCTGGTTACCTAGCAGGACGAACCTAGGAGGTGAGGCAAGCCACACCTGTATTCTAGGGACCGCATGTGTCTGTGGTTTCTACTCCCACCTTCTTTCCATCTGTCACTAACCCTAAATAAAGACAAAGCATTGGGTCCTCTTCAGATACTTGCATTGTTGTCTTATTCTAATGTCCTCCTAAGTGACCTCCATTTCTTCTCCTGCCAAGAAAATTCTTATCTCCTCAAGGGTAAAGAGAAGAGATGAAAGCTTCTAATATCATTCATTTTTTACAAATTTAAAGTTTTGTGAAAATTTTTTTGATGTTTTGGTACCAAAATTCTGACTTTTGAATTTCAAATTTCCTTCCCCTTAACTTACTGTCTTAACTTTTAAAAGCTGTATTACAGTAAGTATAGATTCCTTCTTGGCTTTGTATTTCTATCCCTGAACTGAGGGATGAGAGGCAGTGGCCAAGGGTAGGAGCCCAATGAAGAGAGAAATGTTAACTCATCTAAGATATCAAAAAATTTTCAGTCTGTATTTGGATGCTCCTGTGTTACTGGGCATGAAATATGATTTGGAAAATAAAATCAAAGGGGCCCAAAGCATAGTTTGTCATTCTTAGCCATGGTCCTAGTCAGCCCTGAGATGAAAGAGAGGAAAACATTCAGTAAAAGACCTCATAAAGGGAATTTATTGCTTCCATGGAGATATCAGATCAGGGTCACAAGGAATTAGGTAACTGGATGGAATATTCTGGGGATGTCCATAGTAGGTAATGACTGAGAAAAGAAAAAAATGTCAGGAGGTGAGGGGGAGAATTCCAAGGGGTTTGTGAGCTCTGAGAGGATACAGCACTTAAGTCCCAGAGAAGAGATGACAGGAGGGGCATAGGAGGAGAGAAAGTATATGATGAATGTGGCCAGTGAATAGTGCTAGGTCATCTAGCACATCCACTCTTCTGCTCTCAAAGTTGGGCAGTGCACCTGCAATAAAAGGACAGACATGAGATCCATACGCCTTAGGGGGCTCCTGTGCTATCTTCATGCTGTTTCCCAATTCTCCTACCACTTTTCAACCACAATTGTGTCCACAACCTCTTCCCACTTTCCTCCCTCCTGTACTGTCTCTCCAGGTCCCAGCTCTAACAAATGTGAATCCTTACCTTCCTTTCTGGAGTGTAACTCACAACGGCCCTTGGTGTCTGGAGGGGCCCCCTGGGCGCAGGCCCTGGATAATGAAGACGGTGCCCACCACGATGCCCACAAGGCCCACAGCCAGCCCCAGGCCACAGACCACAGTCTCCATCAGCTCTGACATAGGGGCTGGAATCTCAGGCTCTGTGGAAGGGAAGTTGTGGAGGTCAGAATGTGGAAGCCTGGCTCACATGCATGTGTGTAAGATAGGGTGGGAGGGGTGGTGTTGGTTCTACAAGAGTTGGCACCAGGTTTAGGGAGAATAATAGTCTATCTAGAAATCCTTGAAGTGTATAAAACAAGTTTGGGCCATGAGATTTAGGAGCTAAAAGGCAGGGTGTTCTGACTAGACAGAGAAAAGGCACCAAAAGGCATGGACTCACACATACCCCAGTGCTTCAGGAGTGGCTGGTCCAGGCCCCAGTGCTCCACCTTGCAGTCATAAATGTTTTCGGCAGAAGGGAGGAAGGGGAGGTAACTGATCTTGAGGAAGGAATGATCACTCTTGGTCAGGAAGCTGGTTTCAGAAACGCCCTGTGTGACTGGGTGCCCATTGCTCAGCCACGTGATGTTGACCACAGGAGGGAAGATGTTGTCCACGGCACAGATGAGGGTGTTTGGCTGGCCCAGCATCACGGGCTCCTTGGGAAACACAGTGGCCTCAGGAACCTCTAGGGTGAAGAAAAAGCACTAGAATTAGATCGTGAATAGCTCTGCCCTGAGTTTCCACTGCCTCCTGGAGGGCCCCCCACCAACATTTCCCCACGGACAGTGGAGCTCCTGCTTCCCTCTGCTTGTATACACTGCCTGCTTGTATACACTCCATCCCTCACCCTTCTCTCTGTGGGCCTGCTTGTTACCGTAGGAGGCCTATGGGGCCCGTCTCTGAAGGATTCAAGGATTGTGTTATGGGAGCAAGAATCTCTGTATTTCATGGGAATATGTGATTTGTAAGAAGGGAGAGGGTGAGGGTTCAGGAATTACCATGAAAAGAGCTGGGACTCCTTGGAAAGGAGAGAATTTTATAGAGCAGTGAAGGGTGTCTATCCAGGGACGAAGGGAGTGAGGCCTGGCACTAAGGGGTGGGTTCAATAAAGAGACCGGATGGTGACACATACTCTTGGTAGCAGCGGTAGAGTTGGAGCGTTTAATCAGGATGTCCAAGTTATGTTTTAATATAGCAAGGTTGCTCAGTGCACCCTGTGGGTCAAAACTTCTAAATTTGATAAACACAGGCAGCTGCCAGACAGTCTCCTTCTTCTCCAGGTCCACGTAGAACTCCTCGTCTCCATCAAATTCATGGGTGTACTGGCCAGAGGGACCATAGGACTGGTAGACATTTATGCCATAGGCGGCAACGTGGTCAGCTGATGAGTGAGGGTGGGGAGAAGGGGCGTACAAAACACGGGGAGAAAAAGATCTCATTAAACAAATGACAAAGAAAGTGACTTTCCAACTTCGTGGGCGCCCCTTTTGGCACGGTCTGCAGACAGTCCCCAGCGCCTGCTTCCCCCCCTTGGTGGCCCCTTTAGAGTCCAGCTGCCTTTCATCCCCGGAGCTCCACAGAACAGAATCCCACAGGCTGTTTACTGCTGTTCCCTCGGGCTGCCTCAGCCCTGCACCTCGCGGGCTTATGATAAATATTGGAATGGGTGGGACAGGGATGAGTGAATGGCCGTGGCATTAGCTTTCTTTCCCAGAGATTAGTTTACCTCCCTCTGCTTAAGTTTTCTTTCTCTCTCAGTTTCTTCATCAGTTAATAACACACTCACTGTGGCCTCTCCCCTCAGGACTGGCTCAGAACACGCTCTATGCAAGGATTCCCTCCTCCTTTTATTTTTTTAACCAAAGAAAAGCACACATGATATTATTGCTTTAAGAGTTTCCTTTAACTACTTTAGGGAATAAGAAAGAGAATGAGAAGGACAACGAGAAGATTATAAAACACATAGAAGGTAAACAATGCCTCTAAGGTGTCCCCTTTGTAACAGTGCTGATCCTCAGAGGAGAGCAGTTGATTTTCACCAGAATAAAACCGAAAACTTTATCAGATTTTGGATTTCTGTTATTTCCCATTCCTCCTTTTTATAAGGACATTACTACACCTAGTGTTTCTCGGACTCAGCACTGACGTTTGTTGAGGACTCAAGGAAAGCTCTGGCGCTCTCCCCACACAGACAGCGCACTTGGCCGAGGACCCCCATGCAGGCGGGCAGCCAGCACAGCTGACAACGCCCAGGTGAGCCTGGCTGGACAACTTGTCCCAGCCTCTCACCACCTCCTCTTTCCTCCCCTCCTCGTTTTCTGGTGTCAGCAAGGTTTCAGACATTGGGAGGAGCAAGGGGTGAAGCTCGGGCCATGCACGGTCTCTGCCACCAAGGGGCAGGTTGAATGGGGGGAGTCAGGTGAGCACGGAGCCAATAGGGGTACTGTGCTGAGTCCTCCGCAAATACCTCATCTGCCCATCAAACCAGACATCTCCCCTTCCTGTTCCTTGGTCTTTACAAGGGCCTGTTTTCCTCCGTGAACATCCCCAGTTCACTCTTGAAGTTTCCTCTAGTTACCAACTTCTAGCTAAGTGAGTCCTTTCATTAAACATACTTTTGACCACACTGTGATCTCCAGCCCTCCATGCAAAGGTCCTTTTCTGCAAGTCAATCTATGCCTCATTCCCACGCAGCACAGCCCTTGGGTGGCCACTTAGAAAGCCCCCCAAAAGCCCCCCCAGAAGCTTCCTTGTGAGGAAGCTTCTCGACTCCGTTTTCAAACATGGACACCCGCAACCATGCTCTTGGCCTGCACTCGTGCCCCTGCACACCGCTGCTGAAGGGCAGCCGGCTGCTGGGCCAGCGGGACCGGCCCGCCTTCCAGCTGCAGCCCGCGGGCCCGCACCATGCTGTCTCGTCGCTGACCTGAGCACCAGCTGGGGGCAGACAGCGCATCTCCTCCCCCGAATCCCCAACCCTCGCTCGATGGGCTCAGGCTGTGTATCAACTGCCAACTGCTGTTCTCGAGGATCACAGAGATTTGGGGGAAGGCTGACAGGCACAAAGGTAGCAGAATCCTGTGAAAGCCAGACCCAGCGGTGACCAGGGCTGCATTATGACTCGTGAGCCCAAGCACCATGCTTAGGTAGGGCCTTTATTTTTCCATAAAAATATTAAAAAATCATATTTTATGACCATATTAGTATAAAGACAAATATAATCCAGGGTAAATTAAAATAGTTTCTTTTACCCTAAAAGTTCATTTTTCTTTCTAATTTTAAAAGAAAGTAAAACATTTTCATGGGGCCGTGCAGACATCGCAGGCCCTTGGCCCTGCACGCACTGTGGGGGATACGTCGAGCCTGACCGGGCCACTCTGGAGTGACACTGAGAAAGGAAATCTGGACAAGCTCTGGAGAAGCAGGGAAGCTTTCACTACCAAACCAAGAAAGAATGGGAGCAGCCATGGTAGATAAAGTTCTTGATGGCTAGAGTAACCTCCACTCACTTTCCCTTTGAACTATTTGGCTTTTCAACTTTGATCTTTACAAACCCACTCTCATGTCAATAAAACAACAGGNCTTTCACTACCAAACCAAGAAAGAATGGGAGCAGCCATGGTAGATAAAGTCCTTGATGATTAGAGTAACCTCCATTCACTTCCCCTTTGAACTATTTGGCTTTTCTACTTTGGTCTTTACAAACCCACTCTTCATGCCAATAAAACAACAGAGAAAAGAGCCAGGGATGGAGCCAGGAAAGAAAGGAGGGTAACGGAATGTAGGGATACAGGGTGGGACCAGGTGAGCAGCAGAGATGGAGGNAAGAAAGGAGGGTAACGGAATGTAGGGATACAGGGTGGGACCAGCTGAGCAGCAGAGGTGGAGAGGCCCAATAATGATTCCCGGCTTGTCCAATCTTCCTCTCACAGAGCTTCCTCAGAAGCTGTGGGGCACAGGCCATTTGGTCTGACAATTTGAGACTATTATAATTTAATTCACCAAGTTTTCATCATAAAGTTCTCAATTTTAAAACAAAATATTCCCTACTTTGTTAAAGAAAAATTATAAAGCTATACCTGTAATAGTAATAATTTTAAAGTAAGAATATCATGGACATTTGTGTCTTATTACTAGGGAAGCATGTCTGCATACCTATTTTACTTGATTTTTTGTGAGGTGACATAAGAGGTAACTGAGATTAGNAAAATTATAAAGCTATACCTGTAATAGTAATAATTTTAAAGTAAGAATATGGACATTTGTGTCTTATTACTAGGGAAGCATATCTGCATACCTATTTTACTTGATTTTTTGTGAGGTGACATAAGAAGCAACTGAGATTAAGTGAGGCCCATGTGATAAAATGACTTGTCTAAAGCTTTCACTGGGCTGCTCGCCCACTCCCCACCCGACCGGTGCTCAGCAGGTAAATGGGTGTGAATCTGAGAAAAAGCTAAGAACTCTTCTTTATGTCTGCATAGGACACATAATTCATGAAACTCTACCCAAAATAAACTATAGGGGAAATATATAAAAAGCTCCAAAAGTTGTTCAGGAAAATTTGGGAGCAATAGTTCATAAATTTTTAGTAATGAACTTGCACTCGTGAAAACATCTTTAATCTCTGAGGCAATCACATGAATGCCGTCGAGCCCTCTGGGACATATTCAGGGTCCAGTATTAGAAACTGGAGGATGTCCCTGGTGAAGCCTGCAACAGCACAGGGGGCAGAGAGAGTGGATTGGGACTCTGGTTTTGCAAACGAGAAGGACCATAATGTTTGGATCTACTCAATATTGAGAACCCCTTTGGGGAATCTCTACTATTTCTGTGCAAATCTCTGTCTATTTTACCCTACAGTTTCCAAGTCCGGTCCCCACATCCCTCACCCATGCACTCACCCACAATGTCTTCCCCTCCACAGGGACCCATCACGGTGGTCAGCGCGAGGGCCCCCCAAATCAGAGCTGTGTTTAGGATCATCCTGTCCTCAAGGTGGTCTCAGCAGTTGCTGCTCTGAGTTGCAGGGCAATGGTGAGGACCCGGTTGAGAAGGGAATCTAGAAGCTCCCAAACCAAACCCTGCAGTTCAGGCTCTGCCAATCAGAAAACTCCCCTGTGGTGACACCGCAGTTGCCGGTTGAAGAGCTTTCCTGGGCAGCCTGGCAGGCACTGGGGAGTCCCCGGCTGTGATGCCTCTGCTCAGAGTGGGCCTCAGGGAATTCTCTGTGAAGGGAGGAAGGTGTTAAAGCGGAATCTTCTGTCCTGTGGGCGACTGCTGAGCAGCCACGTGGGTAGATGAGGTCATCACTAAAGGGTCGCCTTCAGGACTTTCTGGGCTACGGCCTCCAAGATTTCTGCCTGTCCAAGACTGTCAAGTAAAACGTTGAGGGGGGAATGAGGGGGACTACTGTGACTTCTTTCCCATAGCTTGCTGGACCTTTTTATTTTATTTATCCTGCCACATGAAAATTCCACGTACTTTTGAGGGACTAGGGAATGAGCTGAAGTCACAGGCAGTCATTAGAGGGAGACTTATTTTGTTTCAGACGAATTAATTTTGTGTGTGTTAAGGAAGCCACAAGTTAATGGGGGTTCCACTTAGATTCAACCACCCTGTCCCTCTCAAAAGGCCCTCAGTTCTCCCCACCCCGCTCCTCACAGTGACAATGACTGTGAAAAAGAGCGGGGACAGAAAAGCCCTGCAGCTGGGAGCTTCCTGGTGCTATTAACCAGGCCTGGCATTGCCAGGATCTGGCCTAGTTCTCACAGCTAAGTTCTGGTGTTTTCCTGCTGGACATAAACAATTTAATAGAACAGCAGTGTCAGACAACCAGTCTGTGACCATGATGGTCAACAGAAAACAAGGTCACTCAGCAACCATGACTGAGCACAGACAAAATATGAGCATTGTCTGAGCCACAAAGAAGACCAGGCACACCTCTCTCCCAGAAAATATGAATGACTGCTGGTCCTTTTAATTATTATTTTTTATTGGTTGATTTTATAGAAAGAGAAAGAGAGAGAGAAAAAAACCCATCGATTTGCTGTTCTACTTATTCATGCATTCATTGGTTGATTCTTTTATGTGCCTGACCAGAGATCGAACCCGCAACCTTGGCGTATGGGGACTATGCTCTAACCAACTGAGCTACCTGGCCAGGATGGACTCCTGTGTCTCTAGCAATTAGGAGTTTAGCTTCAACATTGTCTTCCTTCCTTCCAGATAAGATTTATTGACACCCAATTATAGAACTGCCCTACCCCACCACCCACTTCCTAANTTTAGCTTCAACATTGTCTTCCTTCCTTCCTTCCAGATAAGATTTATTGACACCCAATTATAGAACTGCCCTACCCTACCACCCACTTCCTAACAGAAGCCAGTTAAGAACAAAGTCTCTACTATTTATTTATTTATTTATTATTTATTTATTTATTTATTTACTTATTTATTTATAATATGTCTTTATTGATTTCAGAGAGAGGAAGGGAGAGGGGGAAGGAGAGATAGAAAAATCAATGATGAGAGTATTGATTGGCTGCCTCCTGCGCANTTATTTATTTATTTATTTATTTACTTATTTATTTTTAATATGTCTTTATTGATTTCAGAGAGAGGAAGGGAGAGGGGGAAGGAGAGATAGAAAAATCAACGATGAGAGTATTGATTGGCTGCCTCCTGCGCACCCCCTACGGGGGATCGAGCCTGCAGCCCGGGCATGTGCCCTGACTGGGAAGTGAACCTTGATCTCCTGGATCATAGGTAGATGCTCAACCGGTGAGCCACGCTGGCCGGGCTCTACAGTATTTCTTAAGTCCTCCTCAAGATCACCTAACACAAGCCCAAACCCTATGAGGTTGATGATCAGTATTATGTGTCCACTAGGTTATATTCCCCGGTTGTTCCATCAAACGTTGATATTTTGTAGATAAGACTTAAGTCCACAATCTGTTGAGTTTGAGTAATAGAGATCATCCTTGATAATCTGACTGATCCGGATCCCATTAGCTGAAAAGTCTCAGGCACAGAGCCGAGGCTTCCCTGAAGGAGTGGATTTCACTCGGGGCTGCAGCTCTGGGCTGCGCTGAGAGTTCCAGCTGCCCCTCCTGACGATGGTCTGCCCTGTGGATCTTGGACTTGCCTACTTCCCCACAGCTGCATAAACTAACTCCTTGCAATAATCTCTGAATAGACATCTCCTACTGATTCTGCTTCTTTGGTCCCAACACCCTCTTGCCAGGATGCCTCACAGTTCCCCAAAGTAAGTTTTCTCCCTCACTGCCATGAACAATGACATCAACGTGTTCACCCACAGGTGTGCCCCTGTGGCCTCTGGCTGGAGGCGCTGACAGCACCTCATTAGGTGGCTGCACTTGGGATGAATTCCTAGGACTCTTTAAATATACTTGTCATACTTTAATATCAGTCCTGTTTTAGAAGGAGAACCTTGAGAAGCAGAGGTGGAGGAATTTGCCCAGGTTCACACAGCTGGTAAGTGGCAGAGATGAAGTGTGACAAGGGCAAATTATGAGTTCTCGTTGGGGAAGGGGGTCCCTCCTGTGTGGATTCAGAATCCGTTGCCCTGAAATAATTAGGAAAGATGTTTGACCCTATAGGTGGCCTTATCATTCTTTTTAGGGCCTGCCTTTCCGAATCAAGAGGTTCCGTTGAGTTGTGCTCCATTTACCGGATAGCACACTCCTTTCTCGCAGTAAATAACATGTTTCCATGCTTTTTCCCAGATCCAGACTTACCTGCCTTGTACGTTGCAGAAACTATTCAAGATCTTGGCAAATGAATGAAATCTTTCCTGATGGTGCTCAAAAATTTCACCTATTAAAAAAGTTTTTATTTTACTTTATTTTATATTTTATTATTTTCTATTTCTTTTTTTTGAAAAAGTTTATTTTATTGTTGAGAGTATTTTTTTAAATTCAACTTAANATCTGAGAAAAAGCTAAGAACTCTTCTTTATGTCTGCATAGTACACATAATTCATGAAACTCTACCCAAAATAAACTACAGGGGAAATATATAAAAAGCTCCAAAAGTTGTTCAGGAAAATTTGGGAGCAATAGTTCATAAATTTTTAGTAATGAACTTGCACTCGTGAAAACATCTTTAATCTCTGAGGCAATCACATGAATGCCGTCGAGCCCTCTGGGACATATTCAGGGTCCAGTATTAGAAACTGGAGGATGTCCCTGGTGAAGCCTGCAACAGCACAGGGGGCAGAGAGAGTGGATTGGGACTCTGGTTTTGCAAACGAGAAGGACCATAATGTTTGGATCTACTCAATATTGAGAACCCCTTTGGGGAATCTCTACTATTTCTGTGCAAATCTCTGTCTATTTTACCCTACAGTTTCCAAGTCCGGTCCCCACATCCCTCACCCATGCACTCACCCACAATGTCTTCCCCTCCACAGGGACCCATCACGGTGGTCAGCGCGAGGGCCCCCCAAATCAGAGCTGTGTTTAGGATCATCCTGTCCTCAAGGTGGTCTCAGCAGTTGCTGCTCTGAGTTGCAGGGCAATGGTGAGGACCCGGTTGAGAAGGGAATCTAGAAGCTCCCAAACCAAACCCTGCAGTTCAGGCTCTGCCAATCAGAAAACTCCCCTGTGGTGACACCGCAGTTGCCGGTTGAAGAGCTTTCCTGGGCAGCCTGGCAGGCACTGGGGAGTCCCCGGCTGTGATGCCTCTGCTCAGAGTGGGCCTCAGGGAATTCTCTGTGAAGGGAGGAAGGTGTTAAAGCGGAATCTTCTGTCCTGTGGGCGACTGCTGAGCAGCCACGTGGGTAGATGAGGTCATCACTAAAGGGTCGCCTTCAGGACTTTCTGGGCTACGGCCTCCAAGATTTCTGCCTGTCCAAGACTGTCAAGTAAAATGTTGAGGGGGGACTGAGGGGGACTACTGTGACTTCTTTCCCATAGCTTGCTGGACCTTTTTATTTTATTTATCCTGCCACATGAAAATTCCACGTACTTTTGAGGGACTAGGGAATGAGCTGAAGTCACAGGCAGTCATTAGAGGGAGACTTATTTTGTTTCAGACGAATTAATTTTGTGTGTGTTAAGGAAGCCACAAGTTAATGGGGGTTCCACTTAGATTCAACCACCCTGTCCCTCTCAAAAGGCCCTCAGTTCTCCCCACCCCGCTCCTCACAGTGACAATGACTGTGAAAAAGAGCGGGGACAGAAAAGCCCTGCAGCTGGGAGCTTCCTGGTGCTATTAACCAGGCCTGGCATTGCCAGGATCTGGCCTAGTTCTCACAGCTAAGTTCTGGTGTTTTCCTGCTGGACATAAACAATTTAATAGAACAGCAGTGTCAGACAACCAGTCTGTGACCATGATGGTCAACAGAAAACAAGGTCACTCAGCAACCATGACTGAGCACAGACAAAATATGAGCATTGTCTGAGCCACAAAGAAGACCAGGCACACCTCTCTCCCAGAAAATATGAATGACTGCTGGTCCTTTTAATTATTATTTTTTATTGGTTGATTTTATAGAAAGAGAAAGAGAGAGAGAAAAAAACCCATCGATTTGCTGTTCTACTTATTCATGCATTCATTGGTTGATTCTTTTATGTGCCTGACCAGAGATCGAACCCGCAACCTTGGCATATGGGGACTATGCTCTAATCAACTGAGCTACCTGGCCAGGATGGACTCCTGTGTCTCTAGCAATTAGGAGTTTAGCTTCAACATTGTCTTCCTTCCTTCCTTCCAGATAAGATTTATTGACACCCAATTATAGAACTGCCCTACCCTACCACCCACTTCCTAACAGAAGCCAGTTAAGAACAAAGTCTCTACTATTTATTTATTTATTTATTATTTATTTATTTATTTATTTACTTATTTATTTATAATATGTCTTTATTGATTTCAGAGAGAGGAAGGGAGAGGGGGAAGGAGAGATAGAAAAATCAATGATGAGAGTATTGATTGGCTGCCTCCTGCGCACCCCCTACGGGGGATCGAGCCTGCAGCCCGGGCATGTGCCCTGACTGGGAAGTGAACCTTGATC